TTTACAATAATTTTGAGTATTTAACTATTTAAAAGCATTCTTAATCTAACAGGTGTCAGGAAATAAAAAAATCCAACAAGTGAAAACTCGTCTTGACTTATCCCAATATCCTCACACACAACTCACAACTGGTATATCATATAGTTATAAAACAGCGAATAGAGCAACCTAGTCTAAATATGGTACTTCAATGTCTATGCATATTTTTATTTTTGGGTATTTGGCAAATGTTTAAATGGTGGTTGATGTCGAGTTCATCGAGTGGGGTGTGTAAAATAACTTAACGAAAATTGATGAATTAGTTATTGAGTATTTTTTTTCTTCGTAAATATTTTACAATAACCAAATGCTAAAAAACACAAAAAATTTACATTCATTCAAACAGACAGACGGAGCCAGTATAATTCAACAAGGAAAATCCCGAACAAATGTGTTTACTTATCGTTATTGTTGACCATCATTCTGTTTTATTTATTTATTATTTATTCACAGTAATGGCTCCGTTTGTTTTAACGTAAAATATTCTTTTTAAAAAATATTTTTCTTTTTCAAGTAAAATATTCATTTATTTTTATTTTTTTGATGTTTGGCAAAAGTTTGTTGAGGTTGAGTCTATCGAGCGGAGCATGTGTCACACCTCAAATTTTAACACAAAGACTCTTTGTCATGTATGTAAAATCTGATGTATAACTTCCACCAATTCTCAATATGCATCCATTATAACATATAACTATAACGAATGTCCATCATCCAATCTATTAAACATGAGTGTCTGACAAGCATAAATCAAATCTATAAATAGAGGTGAAATTCCCTCTAACATAATAAAACTGTTGACCTTAAGGATTCCATCCAAAGACAATCTAAAGGTTTTGATGATAACAAACTATTAATGGTGTTTAAGGACTAATGTTTACATTGAGTGTTATAGATTATTCATATTCAAAGGATGACCTCAATGAAGATCATAAAGTCATTCCAAGTATTCCATTATTCAAGATCAAATTTTATAATGCAATAAGGACAAAAGAGTAATACTATATAGTATAGATGACCTAAAGAATAAAAGAAAAAAATATAAATCGCCTAAGGTATACTTATGAATTTTTTTAAAAAAATTTGATGTTTACAAATATAAAGAAAAAAAAAATGTAATTTGCATATTTGTAAGTAAAAATAAAATAAAAAATAAAAATAAAATTGACCCGTGAAATCCGTCCGACCCGTCCAAATATTTAGGTTCGGGTTATGAACATAACCCATTGTTGAGTAGGCTTCAGGGCTGACCCAACCCAATCCGATTTCGAATTAGATTAGATTGGGTTGGGTTGGGATCAGGGCTGGGTTGGGCATGCCCAACTTGCAGCCCTAGTCTAAGGCTATAAAATTTAGCCATCTTAGTAGAATCTGTTAAAAAAATATAATAAAAATAAAAAAATAAAAAAAATGTCTTTCTCAACCATCAACTCAGTTATGGTCTTGGTCTTCTGGTCCTTATATTTCTTATCAAATAATTTAAATGCCTAAACAATACGTTTTTTCTTACAAAAAAAATAAAATATAATTCTTTGATATGTTTTTCTAGTTAAGTTTCTTAAGTATAGTTTCTATTGGCATTCATGTACAATTTAAGTCATACAATTCTTCTCAACGGGTGTCGCTCTTACGTTCTGAGCGCGCTCTCGCTCTTACTCTTCGCGCACGCTTTGCCTAAAATTCTCACTATTTAATTCTGCCGCTTTCACACTCCCGCTCTCGCTCCCACTTCCGCTTTATGCGACTTAGAGTACAACCACAGACAATTTTTTTTTTTTTTTGGGTAAGTAATTACCAGAATTTTTACTATGACAAGCTGTTAACACTCAACAGTATTAAATTTTTTCTATTTTTGTAAGTTGCTAGAGTACGAATTCCTCGCAATTTTTATTAATTTATAAATCATTTGCAATCATTTAGCCCGGCCTGGCGAATCTATTATTATTTTAAAAAAAATATAATAATTATATCTACTTTATTTGGTATGAATAATTTTGGGTTGGTGTTATGGACATAACCCATTATTGAGTAGACTACAGGTGGACCCAACCCAATCCAATTTCGGGTTAGATTAGATTAGGTTGGGTTGGGATCGGGCTGGGTTGGGCCTGCCCAACGTGCAGCCCTAGTCTAAAGCTATAAAATTTAGCCATCTTAGTAGAATCTGTCCAAAAAAACAAAAAATGTCTTTCTCAACCATCAACTCGGTTATGGTCTTGGTCTTCTAGTCCTTATATTTCTTATCAAATAATTTAAATGCTAAACAACACGTTTTTTCTTACAAAAAAAATAAAATATAATTCTTTGACATGTTTTTCCGGTCAAGTTTCTTGAGTATAGTTTCTGTCGGCATCCATGTACAACTTAAGTCACATAATTCTTCTCAACGGGTGTCGCTCTCGTGTTCCCAGTGCGTTCTCGCTCTTACTCTTCACGCGCACTCTGCTTAAAATTCTCAATATTTATGACTTAATTTTGCCGCTCTCACGCTTCTGCTCTCGAATTCCCTCTCGCTCCAGCTCCTGCTTTATGCGACTTAACGTACAACCACAGACAAATTTTTTTTTTTTGGGTAAGTAATTACCAGACTTTTTACTATGACAAACTGTCAGCACTCAACAGTATTAAATTCTTTCTATTTTTGTAAGTTGCTAGAGTAAGAATTCCTTGCAATTTTTATCGATTTATAAATCATTTGCAATCATCTATTATTATTTTTTCAAAAAAAAAAAAAAAAATCATAATTATAAATGTACTTTATTTGGTATGAATAATTTTGGGTTCAGGTTATGGACATAACCCACTGTTGAGTAGACTACGGGCTGACCCAACCCAATCCAAATTTGGATTAGATTGGGTTGGGTTGGGTTAGAACTGGGCTGGGTAGGGACTGCCTAACATATAACCCTAGTCTAAGGCTATAAAATTTAGCCAGTAGAATCAGTCAAAAAATAAATAAATAAAAAAATGTCTTTCTCAACTATCAACTCAGTTATGGTCTTGGTCTTCTGGTCCTTATATTTCTTATCAAATAATTTAAATGCCTAAACAACACGTTTTTTCTTACAAAAAAAATAAAATATTATTCTTTGACATGTTTTTCTGTTCAAGTTTCTTGAGTATAGTTTCTGTTGACATCCATATACAACTTAAGTCACACAATTTTTTTCAACGGGTGTCGCTCTCACGTTCCAAGCTCGCTCTCCCTCTTACTCTTCGCGCGCGCTCTGCCTAAAATTCTCACTATTTATGACTTAATTTTGTCGCTCTCACGCTCCCGTTCTTGAATTCGCTCTCGCTCCCACTTTATGCGACTTAGTGTATAACCATAGACAATTTTTTTTTTTATTCATTTATTTTTTTTTTGGTAAGTAATTTCCAGACTTTTTACTATGACAAACTGTCAACACTCAACAGTATTAAATTCTTTCTATTTTTCTAAGTTTCTAGAGTAAGAATTTCTAGCAATTTTTATTGATTTATAAATCATTTGCAATCATCTGCCCGGCCTGGCGAATCTGTTATTATTTTTTCAAAAAAAAAAAAAAAACATAATAATTATATCTACTTTATTTGGTATGAATAATTTTGGGATAATTAATTTTGCAATCATCTGGTATGATTATTATAAATAATTTTGCAATCATCTGGCCCGGCCTGGCGAATCTGTTATTATTATTATTTTTTTTTTAAAAAAAAACGTAATAATGATATCTGCTTTATTTGGTATGAATAATTTTTTTTGCTTACCCATGGACTAAAAAAAAACGTAATAATTATATCTACTTTATTTGGTATGAATAATTTTTTTTGCTTACCCATGAACTAAGATCATTTTTGTATATTATAAAATTATATATACCCTATCAAAACCGCAGCAGGCTTTGTGCGGGGCCGCGAGCCAAATGGAGACACTCACCTTCCCAAAAGAAAGGTCTCAGCAATATTCACACACACACATACATACATACATATACATATATATAGTAAGCATTATCAATGCGGATTCTAAACAAACTTATCTTGACAAATGGTGGAACCACATATTATTTTTGGTTAAGTAAGGAAATTTTATTGACAGAAAAACTAATTTATAAAATACTACACGGTCTAGGGGTCATTATCCCCAAAGCAAAAACAACACAAGCCAAACCACCATAAAAGGGGCCATCCAAACAAAAATGAATGGACATAAAATTAATGGAACCGGCCAAAAAACAAAAGGGAAAAAATCCACAATCCATATAAATATCATGAAATCAGCTGGTCCTTCAATCAGTATACCTGATACCAGTGAAATTACCTTAATGAATTGACCGAACTTGATGTGCTTGAATCAGGTGTTGCTCAAGAGATGAGTTTTTTTCTTTTTCACTTTTTTTCCCTACAATTCACTATCTAAAGCTTCTAACATTAATTTTTTTTTTTTTAATTTTTGACAAACTAGTGGGAGGAGACTAAAATATGGGGGCACCTGCCCGAGGAGTTGGGCACTCTACTAACTGGACCACTGAGTAATGCTCATTTCGACATTGGTGTTAACAGGCTTCATTTCATGTTAATTTCTATATCAAAATAAATTTGCAAAAAAATAGCAAGGTTTTCAACATTATACCTATATGCGGCAAATTCAGGAAAAGAATGAAAAGATCTTGAAAGATTTAAGGTGAGTTTGGTTGGAAATTTACATGGTAAAGTTCAAAAAACTGATTAGAGCTTACACCATTCTGACACATTTGCTGATGTGTAAGGTGTTGATTGGCCCAGAACCAATGGTCCCGAACCATGTAATAATATTCCGTTGATCCAGTCCAAACCAATCTGATAGATAAGTGGTTCGATTATGGTTCCTAAATGGTTTATGATAGGTTCAGTTCAACGTGTTAGTGGTTAAAATTGAAAATGCATTGCCCCATAATGGAAGAGAAAGAAGGAAAAGCATAAGCTTGAATTGAAGTTACAGAGACAAGGAAAACAAATGAATAAATGCACAAAATCTATAGTTATGGCAAAGTGACATGCAAGTATCAAAAGCAATAAACACAGGTAAACATTTACAGTATCAAAATCTGAAAAGCATGCATCTAAAGTTTACATTAAAGACGAAATCTATGTTATGAAATCTAAAGGTCAAATTCCTAAAGTAATCTACGCACTCATACCTCTTGGTTATGCTATTGGAAAACCAGCAATTAAGATGTTAATGTGGAAAGAAATAATCAGCCAACATCAAGTCCTTTCAGCTGGAGTGAAATGCCTCATCGGTTCTGTAAGTTTATCTACATTATTCCTGTTCCCCCAACATCTATGATGATCTAGGTTTTGCAGGGTTATCCACATTATTCATGTTCCACCAATATCTATGATGATCTACCTTACCCTCACTTTTTCTGTCATCATCGTCTCTCCTTTCTGAATGAACATCCTGCATTTCAGCGGAGCCAGGAGTCTCTCTCAGAAACTGTTCCCAGAAGACATCATTCGCCGCAGTAGGCATAACTCGTGTTGTTATACCATCTACCCTTTCTTTCAGAGCATCAACATCGAAAATGTCAGCAGACTTTGAATTTACATCAATTCCTGAAGATGAGATGGCAGGGCTGCCTACGTGACTGGAAGAGCCAGCCAACTCCGGGGATGAACAAAAATCGGTTGAATCAGATGATGAATGGGGTAATGCAGTTGGGAATTGTTGGATATTCACATCAGAGTTTCTAGACAATGCATGGGTTTCTGTAATAATGACAGGTGAAGGTTGGGGGAGCACACCAAAGTCACAAATTTCTTCACTCGAAATTTGATCAACCCCGTGTAGATAATTTTCCCAAATACTCAAGGATGATTCCAACTTCTCAACTAGATCAAAATTTAGTGCTAGAACTGACGTAGCATCTAGTTGTTGCTTTTGGATATTCGTGTTCTTCATCTCTCCCATATTAGCTTCATCATATAAGCAATTTGATATCAACAACCTTCTCTTTTTGTTAGGACTTCCTGACTGGTGCATGTAAGGGGCGGTAAACCTGGGTTTCTGCAGTTCTTGGGTCAAGAAAGCAATCGTTTTCCTCTGTCGATGGTCCATGGTCAACAATCGCTCTCCCAATGACCGTACTTGAAGTTCAAATTCCTGCTTCTCACGTGCACGCCTCTGTAGATCCAACTGGAGCAAATTATTTTCATGTTTCAACCTTTGAATCTCTTCTTCGAACGCCTGTCTTTCCGAATCAGTTAATGGAACTGAAGACCCTTGATTCTGATGAGAATGGCTATGGATTGGCTTGCGTCGATGAATATGCTTTAAAAGATGTTCTTGTCCTCTCAGAAATTCTTCGTTCGCAAACTCCCATTGATCAGGATCAATCTTTCTAAAACCCTGTAGGACACGACAAAAATATAGTACTACTTGAGCAAAACAGATCCAAAAAGAAGAGTAAAAAAGAGAAACTCCAAAATTGGAAAGAAAGAAAGAAAAAAAAAATTCAAATTGAGCAAACACTAACCCTCTGTGCAAAGACAAATTCATGCTACCAAACATAATTTTAAATTAGCAGTTGCATAATCACCAAAGAATTTTAATCATTTTCCTTTTCTATACTTTGTTAGCAACCAAAGGGAGCTTTAATGTCCTTACATGAATACTTGATACTGAGCAAGGCAAATTCAACCAGAAGACATAAATGACATCAAATCTAAAATTAAACAACATTATGCTTACATATGTGTTCAGTTGCCTAATGAAGCTGGAGAAATTATTGTGCTTGAAATACTTGGGGAGCAAAATTCGAGCAAATTCAGGTGGATTCCACACAACGAAGCTTTGGCCACTCTGACTCCAAGAAATGACACTGTTCGTCACCCGATCATCCACCATCTCATAAGTCTTGGTAAGAAAAGGAGCCGGCCCATTAGAACCACCATTAGATCCATCCATCAATTTGAATTCCCCTTTAAAGAAACTACCTCAAACTACAAGAACTTTGTCAAACAAATTGAATTCCCACAAACGCAGACAAGTTAAACTCTCCCTTTATTCCTCAGGTCACACCAAAGCCCAGTCAACAACAATGGATAGATTAGGAATTCTTAATACCACAATAAAAAAATGAATTAAGTCCAAAAGGCAAAAGGGTTGTGAGCTTCAGAATTCAAACCCTAATTGGGATTAATACCTCAATAAAAAAAAAAAATAAGTCCAAAGGCAAAAGGGTTGTGAGCTTCAGAATTCAAACCCTAATTGGGATTAATACCTCAATACATAAGAAAAATAAGTCCAAAAGGCAAAATGGTTGTTAGCTTCAGAATTCAAACCCTAACTGGGATCAATACCACAGTAAACGAATAAAATAAGTCCAGAAGGCAAAAGGGTTGTGAGCTTCAGGATTCCAAACCCTAATTGGGATGAATTGCTAAGAGAGTAATCAAATGGAGTAAACAATCCAAAATTCCTAAACCAAGAAATCAAAAAGCTGTCAGAGCCCAAACAAAAAGCAAATTATAAGATACCCAATTCAAACAGCTAAAACCCTATTTCTTAATTGATCACGCCCAAAAAAAAATTTCAACCCAATTGCAATTCGATGTCAAACTATATGAATTTAGGCAATCAACTAATGCAACGTGAGCTTGAAATTGGATTTGAACTCCTAAACACAAAGAAGATTCAAACAATTCAAAGTCCAAACACACAAACCTATTTCACTCGTGTCAACTAAAAAACAAACTTGTTTGTTGATTGGGGGTTGAAAAAAAGTTAAGCAATCTAGAGAGAGAGTAGAGTGAGAATTTGGAAGTGGGAAATGATGAATGTTGAACTTACTATATAAGAAATTTACCTTGACCACGAGAGAGACAGAAGAATTGAATTTCGTCTGTTGCTTTATAGGAGGTGGTCAAAGTTTCAGAAGGGTTTGATTTTTCAAACTTCATTTTGCTCGTGGGGGGGATTTGAACTTTGAAGAGAGAAATGGTCGTCACATTGTCTTGGTCAACGACAGTACAGAGATAAGTAGTGGATAGGAGAACAATGGGACAACCCACCTTCATTTTATTGGATTGACTGAAAAGGCAATTTTGACCGCAGCCGCCATACGGCGACTCGATTTGTTGCAATAATTCTAGGGACCAAATAATTCTACATACTTAGTACCGATTTATTGTATTAAATACTTCTTCAATCCTAATTTAAATATTACTTTTAAAAATTTTTTAAGAGAATAAGTAGGACATATTTTATTTCCTTAAAAAGTTAATAATTTGTCCTTATATTCAAGTTTAAAATTTTAAATTCTAACGACATATATAAAAAAATATAAAATATATTATTTGAAAAAAGAAAATGAATAATTATTTTGGAACAGACTAAAAAGAAAAATATGACATTTTTTTTTTGGGAGTGGTTAGTTAAGAATTTATGATTAGTTATTTATACACAATACAAATAAGGATATAGTTTACTCTCTTATTTATTTTATAGGTGGACTAATTAAAATAAGTAGGTTTGACCATTCACTATAACAAATAGGTGCAAGAATTATTTTCTTTTAAACAGTGGTCTCTCTCATTAAAGCACTCCCTCGGGTAAGGATATAGTACATATCACTTTCTATACCGAAACTAAAGTTGATGGATTCCAAATTCAATAATTCTGATATGGATTGAAGCACTCCCTCGGGTAACCATTGAATATTCAAACTACACCTGGAACATACATCTGTGTGAGCCTGATTTTGTTAGAGCATCTCTAATGTTTTACACGGACTTTGGTTGAAAACGGTTAAAAAAAGGGGTTTAAATGGACTAATTTATAATTTCATAACACTTCTCCATTTGAGAACTTTCCCTGGCCTCGGATTGCTCGCAAGAGTTCATCCAGTGTGTTTCAGGGTGATACTTTTCATTTGATGAGCGATAACGTGAGCCTGTATATTAGTTTGATCAGAGTAGCTAGAATTACACGACTGCGTTGCAAACACACTGTCCCTCTGTAGTGCAATTGAATTCTCCTTCCTTATATTCTCGAAAGATAAAAGGATAAATTCTGAAAGTAATCACCAAATTTTCAATATGCTCTTGACTCTAATCATTGAAAGCACCATTCTAAAATCACTCTTGTAATAGTATGTACTCTCAAAGAAAGAAAAATAAACAGAACAATCAAATATTATTTTTTGTGAAAAAAAAAGAAGAAAAAAACTCTCAAAAAGCCATCTCACTTGTAAAAATATTATTTTTTTTGTGTGTATCCATTTTTAAGTGAGAAGAAGAGTATTTATATAGGTTTGAGAGTCCTTGTATAGGTTGAAGATTAAGTCAATCAATTAATACATCTTATTGGAAACGGAGTATACAAAACAAAAAAATTTGGCATAATTTTGAATAGGTCGCGCTAAGAATTTTTTGTAAATCTATAGACGAACACGTTGTTCTCCGCAAGGAAATGAACGTGATATATTTACTTTCTCAAATTCGTTTTCGGGTGAATGAGAAACTAGCTCCAAAGTAAAGTGTTATGATGAGCTTAAATGGATATGTATATGTGGAAAGTAACTGTCACACATTGAAAGTAAAGTGAAATCAATTTAAGTATATATAACTCAAGTTTGGAATTTAAGTTTAGGCCTAGGAGCACCCAAGTTTTCAATTGGTGGAGGACCTAGGCAAGCTTGGATCCAAATCATTTATCACACGTTCGCCTAGCTTGGTCCAGGCTTAGGCTTAATTGTAAAATCTAGTCAAATTTTTTATTAAACGGAATTTTTGAACTAGGCCTTAGCGTTTGGGCTTAATTTAATTTTATTGGGTTGGACTTACTCTGGTGGATTTCACGAATGGTTGTGTCTGGTGGGTTTAAAGTTATGAATTTTAATGGGGTGAAATGCACTATTGAAAATGGTGAAATTTCAAACTCGTGAGCTAAATGTACCTTTGTGTGTATTAGAGAGCGCCACATCATAATTTGGATCCTAAAAAAACTAGAATGATAAATATATAAATAAATACAGCCGCCAATAAATAAAAGCCAAAAATATATTTTTATCTAAAAGTTTTATGATGGTATGATATTTTTGGAGGTAGAGATATTTTCACATCACCTCGAGCTACAAATATCAGACGCTATCTTTTTGAGGTCTCGCTAAATTGTGCACAGTTGGAGTGTGTGTTTAGTGTGTTTGCGGAAAAGAAAGAGTGAAAGTAAAGATGGACACTGAACAGGTGAGAAGGAGAATGAACATGATTGCCGGTCACTTTGCCACCAACGATGATGTATCTGCCACTGCCACCCACGTCTTCCCTTTGGTAATCTCTCCGTATTTGATTTATCTAACCCTCTGTTTGGTTTGTCAGAAAAACTTAAGAAAAGTTATGGAAAGCGTTGAAAGTCTATTTTTCTTTTTCCTTCTTGGGTTTCAGATGAAAACTGTTCATTTTTCGAAATTTTAATTTCTTCCCTATAACACCGTTTTTTCCCTCTCTTAGCAATCAATCAGGAAAATTTGACTGTTTTGCCCCTTTATTCTCCCAATCAGGTGTTGTTTTTTCAACCATTTGCATTTGTAACTTCGCTGTTGTTCAAGCATAATTCCTTGTATCTATACATACCATTTGGTTTAATTCAATATACTGATCGAGTAATTAGTTTATTGGTTCATCTCTCTGTGTTGGGGATTTAGTAGATTTTTTCTAGGAGATACATATAGGTTAATCATTAATGCCATGGTATTTGTTTTGTTGTATTCTACACTCTGAAATGTGTTGTGGTTTTGGTACCCAACTTTTTGAAGGTGTTAGTGGCATATGGACATGATATATATATCTTGTGCCTTAAAAGTCCTCTCATTCTTTTATAAAGCTGATTTCAATCTCATTTAGTAAAATATTTCTTGAAACGTGGTAATCCAATTACAATTTAGGATGACTTCCTTTGTGGGCTTAAAAGTGGCAATTGATGTGGTAGCTTGTATGATTGTATGGTTGTGAACCAAAGTTGTAAATTTATTTTTTATAAACTTGTAACACTCATATTGATTTATTAGAAACCGAAAAGGTTAGTCCCAACTTTTAATCGAAAATAATAATAGATAGAATATGATTTAGGATATGTAAACAATAAGTTTCTGAGGCCTAGATAAAGAAATATTGCAAAAGTAGAAAATGAAATTGTAGGTATCAAAGAGGTATCTTGAAAAAGACAATGACCACCCAAATGCTTTAGTGACCAAAATTTGCTGACTTGAACTGATTACAACTTGAATAGTTTTTAGAAATCAGGAGAGTCCATGTCTCGGCCATTGAAAGTGGTATCTTCTTATAAAATTATCACCATTATGATAATGCAAAAAGTTACTAATTACTTTGGGTTATCAAAACTGAGCCATTTAGGTATATATATGCACTTTGAGCTTTGAAATGATTGACTATAAAGTACAACAATTGGGCATGATTGAGATTTGATTTGTTCTCTCACTTTACATTTGTAGTACTAGTATCCTAGCAAAGAAAATCGATTAACATTTATAACTGGATTTGTGCACCATTAGGGATCCATGAACGTTTCTGGTTATGATATTTTCTCTTGAGTGTTTGCTTTTATGGTGCTAGAGTATGATTGTGGCTCTGAACCATTGTTACCTAGATGTTAGGAGTCTACTCATCAAGTACTCTTAACAATGAGCTAATCTGTACAAAGCTCTCATTTGCTAGGCTACCATCTAATTGCCAATATATTCTTCACGTGTAATTTTTTATTTTTTGCTGCACTTATTTGTCTCATCTTCTTGGTACACTTATTCCAGTGGTTCAATCATCTTTCTTTCCTCAGAATTGCAGTAGCAGTTTAAATGCTGTCATCCGGAGGTGTGACAACAGAATTTATTTTGCGAGGCAAGGGTCTAATTCTCAAGGTTGCTTCATGAGGCAGGTTTCAAACGAACAGGTGCTTATTCTATTTGGTATACACTCCTGAATGTTGTTTTCCAATTCTTCCTGGAACTTATTCTGTATTCTCTCTGTTGCATCTGTATGTTTGTGTTATCCGTTGTACCTTCACTCAGTCTGGTGTGCCACTCAGGTGCACTGGTTCTGCAAATGAGAGCCCTTCTCATTCTTTTGAGACACCCTTATTTTCTAGACCTGCTAGGACGGAACCCGACTTCCCAAATGTGGGAGTAATCCCACCTTTGGTGCAAGACTGCAAATTACCTGCACCTGAGCCTCCGACGTTTTCCTGCACCTGTTCTGGGGTGGGTTCTAGCTTTCAAGTTTGGAAGTTACTTGGACTTGGTGGTTAGATGCACGAGGACAGTTTTCTATATGAGTGTTAAGGGCCTTGAACTTTGAAATGGTTGATTACAGCTCGTGATTGGGATTTATTTGTTCTCTGTGTAATATAGAAAGTTGCCTGCATTTGCAGTATCCTAGCAAATAAAACCGATTAAGATTTATAACATTCACGTAGGGATTTATAAATGTTATCTGATTATGAGATTTCTGACTGTTGGCTTTATGGTGCTAGAATAAGATTATGGCTGTGAACTAGAGTTACCTCAGTGTTAGGAATCTAATCATCAAGTCCTCTTAACAATGAGCTAATCTGTACGCAGCTCTCATTTGCTAGGCAAGCATCTGATTGTCAATACATGCTTCATATGTGTGTGTATATATATATGGGGTAGGTAATACACATACATGTACCCATTATTATCTCTTTGGGACTCTTACCCTCAACATTCCACTTGGAAGGAGGAGGACACAGCTCATAGGCTAAACCCTTGGTGCTGCCTCATGTGTGATTCACTGCCATAAGTATAACTAATTCACCCTTGGTGCTGCTTCATGTGTGATTCACTGCCATAAGTATAACTAATTCATTTACAATATTTAAAACTTATTCCAGTGTCCAATGTTTGGAAAAAAAAGACACCAATATAAAAACCATATGTTTGTGTAAATAAAAACAAATGAATATTCTC